TGAAATGTAAGATCAATGGAGCTGCAACGCCATACTTTTTTTATTTTTCTTCCCACTGTATAATGTACATTTTGTGATTTACTTCGCTTTTCTGTACATGTTACCGCTGTATCTCTTGTGATTTCAATAAACATTTTGATGGATAAAAGGAAGAGCAGCAAAGAGAAGGGAAACTACCATGGATTACAGTAAGGCGCACATTACAGTATTGGTTTATGTTAAAAAATGTGAGAGTTTAATGTCACTTTAAGTTCTGCCTCCACCCCGTTTCTGGAGCCCAACATGCCAAGGAAAAACTTTGCTCTACGTATACTTATGAAGAACTTAGCAAGAAGGTGGTGATAATAAAGCTCAGCATGAAGGCAAAGGAGATATTTTCTGGCTGCGGTGGAATGATGAAGCTGGGTTCTCAGGGAGGTCTTCTATGGGAAATTATCAGCATTTTAAGAACCAGGCCAGGTTGTTGAATTAATTGGTGTAGACTCAAACTGAGAAAACCGTTTGGGATAGACTTACCCCCTAACCAGATGATCATGTTTCAGGAACCAGATCTGAACCCAGGGCCTCTGCTGTAGCTGGCGGTGGTTCTAACTGCTGAGCCACACAGTTGTTTTATTTGATAAGAATACTTCTATTGTGCCGACAAGTTTAATACCTTTGAATAAAAGTTTTATTTTTATCATACTTTTTTATATGTTTCTTTGCGGCTTAACAAAATAGGAGTCTTTAAATGGTGCGGATATTGGGGAAAATGGGTGTGGTTACGGGGGTGTGGCCACTAAAGGGTGTGGCCACTGAGGGGCGCTGTAAAGCTTTCTCGCACAGGGCGCCTAAAGGCCTAAGGCCGGCCCTGATCCTCCCCTCACCCAAAGCTCAGTATACCGCGAGCTACAGGTAGCGGTATACTGAGACGCCGCAGCCGGGATGGATCCCCACATTACTGTCTGGATCCACCCAGCTGCGTGACTGACAGCTGGCTCTGCCTATCTAGAGGCAGAACCAGCTGTACCCGCCCCCTCCCCCGTCCCGTCCGTTCCGCCAGTCAGTGCTGGAGGATTGGAGCGGGGAGGGGGGGAATCCCTGCAGGGAGCCGTGAGTGACAGTCACGGCTCTCTGCAGGGACAGGATCGAGAGGTTGAGCGAACAACGGTATGTGTTCTCTCACTTCCCAATCTATTGAGCCGACTTGTGACAGTTTCATTGTCACAGGTCGGCTGAGTGATTTTCACTCGCCTCATAGTTCTCCTATAAACCTAGTTTCTGCTGAACTCTGAACTCCTTGCTCCTCCCTTGAACTTCCTATTTAAGCCACGCCTCTGCACTTCCTGTTTGCCAGATTATTGTGCTCCTGCCAATATCTTGCTTCCTGCTCCTCCTGTGATACAATCCGCACATACTGCTACCCGTATACCGACCTTTGGCTGCTGATTCACCAACTACTCTCATCGTCTTCTTCTTCATACCTGATACCTTTGGCTACTGACTTCGGCTTGATCTCTGACTACGCTTCTGCCTGCTCCTATACTACTACCGTCTGCTTGTGTACCGAACTCGGCCTGTTTGACTACGACTTGGCCTGCTGTTTCAGCTACTGGACTCCAAGTCTGATCCATGCTCTTGTGCTACATACTACATACAAGGCCTACAGATGAAAACAGATACCAGATTATATAATCGCTCCCAAGCTGGACAGATAATAAGACCAGAACTTACTTTTTTTCTGTCCCATAGTCATGTGGATGAACAGCTGCTGAGATCCCCACAATCACAGCCGGGATACCGAACCCCAGAAGACACAACATCGGGAAGTTTGATTTTCGGGAGGCCATGTAATTGACAGCCCTCAGGTTTCGGACAGTCATGAAGAGGAGGACACTCTCAACGGACATCCAGCCGAAAGCACAGAGGAACAAGAATTGGAGCCCACCAGCAATGAAAGCACACAGGAGCTGAGGACAGATAAAGAATGGGAAATAGTCATCATATTCTATATATACTGCCATGGCCAATGTGTTGGCACCATTATAGCTCTCAGGGCAGGTCACATCAGCTCTATGTTCAGAGGAAAAAAAGGAAGCTTTCAAAGAAAAGCACTCTGCACCTACTGTGAAATATGAAGAAGGTTTGGCTATGTTTTGGGGCGGCTTTGCTGCATCGGGCACAAGGTGCCTTGAATCTGTGCAGGGCACAATGAAATCTGAAGGCTATCAAGGAATTCTGGAGCAAAACGTGCTGCCCGGTGTTAGAAACCTCTGTCTCAGTTGCAGGTCATGGGTCCTCCAGCATTATCATTTATTTATTACAGGTATTTATATAGAGCCGGCAATTTACTCAGCGCTTTACATAGTTGCACATTTACATCAGTCCCTGCCCTCAAGGAGCTTACAATCTAAGGTCCCTGTGACCAGGGGCGTCCCGAGGCTGGGTGACACCCGGAGCGGTAACCGAGTGTCACCCCACCGAGACGTCACTGTGCATGACGTCTTCGCGCGGCAGTATTCTGATACCTGCCGGCGGCTATCTTGGTGATGGACGCCGGCAGAGAGAGGAGGGGACAGTCACCCGGCGGGATAAGGTATGTCGCCGGGTCCCCTCCTCTCTCCTGATACTGTCAGGCGTTCGGTCCATGACCGAGCGCCAGACTTTTCAGAGGGTGGTGACACCAAATTGACTGTGAGTCATTTTGGTGTCACCCCTCCAATGGTGGCACCCGGGTGCAGGCCGCACCCCCCGCACACCCCTTGTGACGCCACTGCCTGTGACTAGGGTTGCCACCTTTTCTTCCAGCGAAACCCGAACACTCTAGCGAAGCACAGAACTTTTTTGGGGAGAATGAGTCGCCGCTTATTCATATGTATATAGCACCACTCATTAATATCTAAATATCACAGTCGAGACTATTTTCAGTGGGGGGCCAGTAGCCTCTATCTTAATTTTGGTTGCCCCTGTCTGCCTGACATCTTGTGTCCGGGTTTCAGCTGCCATGAAACCCGGACATAGCATTCGAAACCCGGACTGTCCGGGTGAATCCCAGACAGGTGGCAACCCTACCTGTGACCCATAACGCCCAGCTAAAAGCACCCAAAGCTTGGGACTATTTTGAAGTGGTGTTCCATAAACCTTGATCTGAAGTCTATCAAACATTTAAAGACAGAGCCAAACATCCAGTCTGCAGAAGACAATCTTGAAACCTGAGACAGCAAGTAGCCAGAGTGGGCCAAACTACCTGCTGTTAGGTGCAGTAGTAATTGTCTCAAATAACAAAATATTAGTTTAAGGGTCCCATCATTTTTGTCAATGTCATATTTATTTATTTTATTTGTGTAGCCACCCTGCCTTAAGTGGGAGTGTCTATTTAAATTTAGAGGCTGTTAGATTGTAGTCCATCTGATTTGGATTGATAGTTTGGTGTTCAGCAGTTTTTCCTAAGTTATGGTGATTGTTTGCTTGTGTCTGCTGCTGGGGGAATGTACCTTGGCAATAGTATGGGAGGCTGCACTAATGAGAGTTAGGCATTCTTGAACCTCCCTGGCCAACCACTAGGAGGTTTGTTTGGCAGTGGGAGAGGCTATACATTTTCAGGAGGTCTGAGTGAGCCTCCCCTGGGCTGCGGCTTGAGGGAGGGCTATGTAGATTGTCTGATTCTCCTAGGCTGGCTGTCTGAGGAAGGCCATGAGGACTGAGGCCTAGAGAATGAAGCTGGAGATGGAGATACCATGGAGGAACTTCAGTATATATAGGGCACCTGAGACGTTGGTCTTCTACTGAAGTATGGTGATTTCCCCCTGATGGACTGGTAGCTAAATCACCAAGTATTTTGCAGCCAGGAGCTGAAGACACATATTGACAAATTAGTTTAAAGACTCTCTATCTGTGAAGTCCGGGAATACTCTGTTCCTGAATTTTGGAGTCTACAACATCCTGGGTGGCCTGTGCCCCAACCCTCTCTCCCAAGGTCGTTCAATAAAGTTCTTCAAGCATTAGAACATCTGCGTGGAAATCTGTTTTGTTGGTCACCACTGGAGGGTCCATAAGAGCTTTTGGGGTAGAAATAAACTCAAGACAGGCTATGGGGGACCGATCTATACCCTTGGGGGTGAGCGCTACATTTAAAATATTCTGTTTGATAAAAATCTGGCTTTGCTCTTGATTTTTGATTCAATATGGAATAAACAACGATGGATGGCAGTCACTTTGGTCAGTTTCAAGTTATTTCAAAAACAAAAACTTTGGAACGAGAGAGAACTACAAGCCCAACACCCTGTTACATGCTGATTGAGACCTTGGGTGAGGCTTTGAACACTTACCTTATTCCAGATTTGGCGGATGCCAACCAGAAACAAAAGTTGTCCCAGGAAGAGACATCCGCAGAGAGCTGTGAGGACGGAGGAGTGAGCGTTCTTCAGAGCCTGGCACAGCATGAAGGTGAGGAGAGACAGACACAGGCAGACAACAGATATGCTCAGTCCGACGTATGAGAGAATGGTAAGAGCAGAATCCTCCTGTGCAAACAGAGACAAAGAGGCTGATTTACTAAAGGAGTCAAAAATCTTTACTCAGAAATTGTGTTAATATTCACTTCAACTATCCAGTCATGTAAAAAGTAAATTGCTGTTCACTTTGTATACCCAGGGATAGATTAAGGCCTGGTGTTGTCAATCACTTGGACGGGAAGCAGCAGAGTCGACTTTCTATTTAGGCATCCACTCACTCTCTTCGCTGGGGTCCCGCAAGACCTCATTGAGCGACCACCTAATATGCCTGATTAGAGAGTCGGCGGTGCCTCCAATTGTGTTCAGTCCGGATGTCCATTGGTCACACCAAGGTGATCCGGGCCATTTTCAGATGTGGAGCTGGTGCTGGTGCTAGAGCTGGTGCTCCTGTAGCCCCTATGTTAATCTGGCCCTGTGCATACCCAATCATGTGCAGATGCTTTTAACATAATTGGATCATGATGGTGAAATCATTGAAAATGCTGCTCGTTATCTATTCTGTGCAATAGGTAAAACTTTTTTGTTGGTTTTAAATCTGAACTCCAGGCAAACAGTTAAACGCACCTCTGCAATACACATATGGGGGCTGTTTCACCTTTTAAAGGATTTGTATTTCTGTCCACTCGGTACTGAAATTTCTATAGCCCTACCAGAAAGCAAAGCAGGCCAGGTGACTTCACGTATCTCTGCTGCAGTTAAGCAACACAGGTAGGTACCTGACACGTAGGTACCTTCCTTCCCCCAGCCTGTGACTGGATAGTAAAGGTACATCAGCAAACCAATGAGGCCATCTCTCTGCTCTCTCCTCTTGTTGGCATGTTCCTTATCAGCACATGTGTATGCAGGCAGGGCCGGATTTCCCACAAGGCCAACCAAGGCCCAGCCTCTGGGCAGCAGGGAGTAGGGGGGTAGCAGGGCTGTGGAATTCCTATCTCCCGACGCCCAGCGTATGCAGTTCTGGGCGTTGGGACAGTAGTTGTTTTGTACTTTTAGCCCTGCTTTGGGCAAGCAAAGCTAAATGTACAGCAGGGAAGCTGCCGCTTGTTTTGTACAAGTGATCTCAACAATGATGCCGAGATCACTTTTATGCAGCCTGCATACAGTGGGGCGCATTGCCGAACATGGCATTGGGGCAGCAAAGAGAGTAAATCCGCCCCTGTATGCAGGTTGGCTGCATGTACTGCCATCCCACTGCCAGTCCCAGTGATGCTCTACAGAGAATTACAAGGGACATAGAGTCCAGCTTTGAAGATTTTATCCAAGACAAAAGTGACCTTCTCAAAGTGTTATCAGAAGTCCTAATAGAATTCCCATTTGCTGTAATCACCTGGATTCCATGAGGTGCCATGAGGAGTGTAAAGCTGGAGAGGTGGGTAAAGGAGCAGTTGGTGTGTGTGCCATCAGATTGTCCCGTGACACAGCCTTCATCTGACCAGCCATTACTTACAGGGTCCCAAAATACACAGGTGACCTTATAAAAGGGCTTCACTGGCTGCAATGGAAAGATTTACACATTTTAGCACCTGATTTCATATATGAAAATTACCATTTCTAAGTTTGTAGATGACACCAAGCTAGGTATTGGGATAAAGTCCATACAAGATGTCTCCAACCTACAAGCAGACCTGAATCTATTGGTGGATTGGGCAACTACTTGGAAAATTACATTTACAGGGCTATTCACAAAAGGGTGAAGAATTTGGAGAAGACAGGAGAAGTGAACAATCTAGGCCAAAATAGCTGATTTGGAAAAACTCTCCAATTCAGCTCACTTCCCGGGCCAGCTATGTTGTCCTAGATTGTTCACTTCTCCGGCCTTCTCCAAACCCTTCAACCTTTTGTGAATAACTCAGTCAATGTTGACAAATGTAAAGCTCTGCACTCGGGGACTAAAAACGTGCAGGCATCATACACTCTAGGGGGAGTACAATTGGGGGGTACAACTTAAGTATTATTACTTCCATAACAAGTCTAGATAAAGAGCTCTGTGTGCTCAGCTGACTACTAGGGGCTAAAGGAATGATGAACATGTATCCACCCACTGCCTATAAAAAGGAATACACTTCTTGTTTCTCAGACTTGTGTTAGAAGGGGTGTCATGTGGATGTATTATGGTTTTTAAAAAGTAATGCTATCATTGAAGGTGCCTGATGAAAGAACAGATTGGCTGCAGTCACTAGCCAGCCAACAGTTTTCCACCCAACTCATTCAACTTCGTTGTACCAAAATAGACATCCATGGCTCGATTCCTGCTGAATCGGTCAAAATTCGAGTTGGGGATGGCCAGTCTTACTGTCAGTGACAATGTATTTACCCTACAAG